TTTATGCCCAGCATTTGTATATATAGTTTTGGGGTGGGGATCTCAACAGTTTTAAAGTTATGGCCCAGGGACTATGTCTCCAAGGGTGGGGCCAGACCCTATAGCCATCCTGGAAGCAAATGTGCATTCTTCTCTTTATACTCAGCAATTGTATACCATGGTTATATGGTGGGGATCTCAACCATTTCCAAGTATTACACTTTTTTTGGCCCCACCCCTTAGCCCGGGGGGTCAGCCCCACCATTTGTACAATTTTGAATCCCTGCCTCCCATGAATGCTTCCGACCAAATATGATCAATATCCATGGCATAGTTCTACAGTAGAAGTCGTTTATAGCAATACAGCCAAATTGCCCCCTTTTTTGGCCCCTGGGGGCTCATCCCCACCATTTGTATAATTTTGAATCCCCACCACCTAGGGATGCTTCCAGTCACAATATGGTTGATATCCACCTCTTAGTTCCAGAGAAGTCGCTTATAGCAATATTGCAAAATTGACCCCTTTTTGCCCCGCCTCTCAGCCCCCTTGGGGGTCAGCCCAACCATTTGTAAAATTTTGAATCCCCACCACCTAGGAATGCTTCCAGTCAAATATGGTTGATATCCATGGCATAGTTCTATAGAAGAAGTCGTTTGTAGCAATATAGCCAAATTGCCCCCTTTTTGCCCCGCCCCTCAGCCCCATCATTTGTACAATTTTGAATCCCCACCACCTAGGGATGCTTCCAGTCAAATATGGTTGATATCCATGGCATAGTTCTACAGAAGAAGTCGTTTGTAGCAATATAGCCAAATTGCCCCCTTTTTGCCCCGCCCCTCAGCCCCCTGGGGGCTCAGCCCCATCATTTGTACAATTTTGAATCCCCACCACCTAGGGATGCTTCCAGTCAAATATGGTTGATATCCACCTCTTAGTTCCAGAGAAGAAGTCACTTAAAGCAATATAGCCAAATTGGCCCCGCCCCTCAGTCCCCTTGGGGGTCAGCCCCACCATTTGTACAATTTTGAATCCCCACCACCTAGGGATGCTTCCAGTCAAATTTAGTTGAATTCCAATCAGTGGTTAAGAAGAAGAAGTCGTTAAAAGAAATTGTTGACGTACGGACGTACGGACGCAACGGTATGGCATAAGCTCACCTTGGTCCTTCGGACCAGGTGAGCTAATAAACTTATTGTTTCTCAGTATAAATCAGTAATTGTATAATCTGTGGGCTTAGTTTTATTTTGTTTATCTTTTAAAAGGGAAGGTCATTTTAGGACAATAATTCATACGAGCAGTTAGGTAACACTTACAGGAAGATTCAGAGGCAGGTCAAACAGCCTGGTGGCTAGTGTGCGGATCTCCCTGTCCGACAAAACCCTGAAATGATCCAGATCAAGATACATCATTCATTGCTTAAATCTGATGTATGTTCTCTCATATATACCTTAAATATGTACTAGCATCTTAATATATGTAACATGTATTGATAGTAACAATATTTCAACTTATTAAAAAGAATAATTTTCCAATGAATGTATTTAGATCAGGTTTAGCTCATGATAAAATGAGCTTTTAAAAATATAGCATTTTAGAGAAGTTATATAGCACATGGATACATTCATCTGATGTGTGAGATGTGTGCCACATTCCAATAACATTAGTACTGTACTTTACAAGGTGTAATCTGGATAAAAGTTGTGTCTAGATGAACGAATATATATAATTACATCAATAGCCATAATAAGTAACAGGGTGAAACAACTGGCACTTTCATGGAGAAAACACCATGGTGACAGCATTCAAAAGTTTGTTTGATGGGTGAAAACCTTGTTTGATGGGTGCAAACCTTGTTTGATGGGTGCAAAGTTTATTTGATGAAGAAAAGCTTATTGAAATTGGTACAGTATTGTATGAGCAGAGGAGTAAACAAAATATTTTTTCCAGACAGAAACACAGTGAGCCTAATTCCAGTATGCCCTACACACATTTTTATGTCCTGCAGACATACTGTATACCTGGAAACTTTTGCTCTTCACTGGTACAATGTAAAATCCATATTCACCCAGCGTTGCCAACCTCGAAGGAGCCCAGTTTGGGAGATCTCCCTCCACTACCAACCTCGAAGGAGCCCAGTGTGGGAGATCTCCCTCCACTACCAACCTTAAAGGAGCCCAGTGTGGGAGATCTCCCTCCACTACCAACCTCGAAGGAGCCCGGTTTGGGAGATCCCCCTCCACTACCACCCTCGAAGGAGCCCGGTGTGGGAAATCTCCCTCCACTACCGACCTCGAAGGAGCCCAGTGTGGGAGATCTCCCTCCACTACCAACCTGGAAGGAGCCCAGTGTGGGAGATCTCCCTTCACTGGGTTTTTAAATGAGACTTTTGACAGTGTCACGCCTAGCCTTGTTTCAGGTGTTGAGATTAGATTTACCTTGCGCATAAGTTTCCCCCATAACACTTTATATTAAACTATATATATAGTTTGTTGTCTATCAATATTTTCCTGTCAGGATAAATTCACCCTCATGACGAGAGCGAAAAAAGTGAAGGATTAACTGTGGCAGAAATTTCTCAGTATACAATGCTCTTTAATGTACTTTTCATCCAATCAAATTTTCTAAAGTGACTACATGTAAACCATGTTATTGTAAATAAACACAAACTTCCAACATTTATTACAAGAAATTTAAATTAAAAAATACTCTAATGAATAATAAATATAATGCACCTAGATTTATCTGTGTCCATTTCATCAAAGACCTGTGCGATGGTGACATTCGTTGTGACGCCCATCAGGTAGTAATAATAGGAGAAAGCAAACTGCATGTCGTCGGAACTACGGATCTTGTGTGACGATGTGACGGCCCACTCCTCAGGAAACCTGTTCAACAAGGGAGATAACCTTCAAATCCATTGTGACTGTGGAGTGTATGTTTTTGTTTACTAGCAATAAGTCAGAGGGACCAAGTCTTTTGACAGCTTGTAAAATGTTTCTTGGCTTTTTCCAAATCTTTTATTTATTTTTTGTTTTGACCTGATGCTTAATTTGCAGATATTACTCTCATCTTCTTTTTTGCAAAATCTGTTTATAGTGTACAAACTATGGTTCTCAGTACAGAAAAACCTTTAAAAAAATTCGTCAAAATGTTTGGCGGTATTAACGAGGAGGTAATTCTAGATACCACTTAAGGAACCAAGTAGATTCAATACATGATTCTGATCAAATTGTGGAAGTTGGACTGACAGCAGTTATTTCACTAATTGCCATCAAAAATTAATGGGTTCCGCTCTGGATACATTGAACTTCTCTACACCCATGGAATATGTCACGACAAAATCAAAGGCTCTGTACACCTGGCCTGGGGGATGATACCAGTAGACTAGTCTGATGTCTTTGATGAAATCACACGGCAGCTTAATGGTAAAATCAACAGGTTCTGAGGTTAGGTGAAGTTCCTCTATAAACTTCAAATGACAGGTGTCAGTCTAGGGATTGGTCAGGTTTTTATACCAGAAACCAATCAAATGGATTATCACAACCCTTCAATTTTCCAAGAGTGTGGAGAAGATATGTGCATCGGGAGCGAAAAAAAATTGAATGTTAAAGATGGACAGACATCACATGTTCATTGCGCCATACATACATGTCCTGTAGTTCATTCATGATATCCTTGTCCATCATGTGGGGCATATGTCCAGGAACTTTCCTCGCTGAGTACCCAAACGCCTTATTAAACAGCTTATTGACATGGCGTAGGGAGTCGCCAAATGTGTCCAGGAGGCGACGTCCTCGTCTGGGGGAGATGGTGAATTGTTGTGATCGTTCCAGCTTCTCTTTCTCCTGAAAACATTTACGAGACATGGAAACATGTTGAGAATGTGTAATTCAATCCTTATATATGTGTTCAACTCAGCAAAGAAATTTCAACATTATCTTTCTGACTGATTTGTTTTGGTTCATTTAACCAGGGTTCAATTGAGGGGGGGGGGGGGGGGGGGGGTATAGGGTTACACTTTAGGAATACACAAGAGTCCATGGGTTGATCACACTTCAAATATTGTAAAAGTACAGAATTTCGAACAAATATAATAAAAAAAAAAAAAGTACTGAAGTTGTAAATTTTATTTTGTAAAAATAGTGAAAACAAACCTCATGAATTTTGTTAAAGACTCCATCTTTTTCCCAAGGAAGATTACTCTCTGAAGCAAAGGGTCTATCGTTAATGATAATGTTTCTCAAATGCTCCTTCTCAATATTTCCATCATCCAATTCAATAAGGTAGCCATTTTGATCCATTTCCATGACAACAGAAGATCTAGCGAGACCAAGTAATCTTCGTTGTCCCATTTTGCTATTTGATCCTAGGACAACAGGATTTTTCTGAATGTCGTTTTTTTCTTCTGGATTCTGTCCATGTAGAATTTGGAATTTTTGCCAGATGAACTGTTGTTGAATTATAAATCCTTTTTGTGTTATTTCACCTGAAATGGATCATAATAAGATGATGTAATTTGACAATTAAATAAAAGTTCAAGCAAAAATGTACAGAAATGTATTTGAGTATATATAAGCACTTATATGTAAAATTCTATATTACAAGGGAACCTACATATCAAATTTGAGAAAGATCCCTCCAGTACTTTCTGAGAAATAGTGATAACAAGAATTGTGTAAGGGCTGACACCGGACAGAATGACAGACGGACCACGGATAGAAAAAACAGTTCAACAGGAAATTTTGGTTTCTAAAGTGTCCCCTTAGTAGAAGACACAGGAAAATACCCCCCCCCCCCCTCCCCACCCCTCAATATTCTGCAGGAGTCCAACATTAGTCATCTCACACAACATGCAGTGGAATACAGCAGGTCTATTACATAGTAACTCCTGGAGCCTGTAGGCTTTGTAAAGTGTGGTAAATGATATGAATACCGTACCATCCATCAACTGTTGCCTGGAGTTGTTCAGTTCTACTGCCAAAGGCTCTGGAAGTTCAACCGCTGATAAGTTCACATGAGGTGGAAGATCCGACAGTTGTTTTACTGGAGCCATAGCTTTTGGATTCCTATAATGTATTATAATAACAAAATAAAAATAAAAATATATTATCATTTTATTCATTCTATGGTCAAAATATTTATATTCTTAATATGTTTTCATTAAGCCTTGTTAATGTGATTGTGATTAAGCTTTAAAATCTTAAATGATACCTTTTATTTGCTAAACATTCATTAAAATCTTATTGGCTATTGCAGAGATATGATATGAAATTAAAACAATTTGATAATCAAAGATCATTATGACATACTCGTAATTGTTGTCATATATATAAAATTCAACAAGTTATACAAGTGGACTGCTACCAGATTTGGCAGACAACTATCTGGGGACCTAAAAAGAGGTCTCTCAACACAGGTAGTCTCTTATATTAATACAGGTTCATTTCACAATAAAACTACTTCAACTGGGAAAATTGAAAGTGGTCCCTTAAAACAAAAGTCTTTTAATAGAGATGGAGCAAGATTCATCAGTTTGATATGAATAATAAATGATAAGATTGTTTTGAACACAAACAGTAATTGAATACTTATTTTGCAAACTTTTCTGCACCCTTTGCTTGTCAAAGAAATCAGACATTTTCAAAAGATCACCAAATAGGTTTTCCATTAATAATTGTTCAAAATCAACTCAGCATTTGAAACTGATGGAGATTTACCACAAGTCCTTAGGAATATCTTCTAGCTTGATTTCCTTGACCTCTTTCTTGGTCTGTGTGATGTTTCCTTCAGTCTTGTTTGCTTTTGTAATCTCAAGAGTTTCATTAACACTGACTTCTGCTTTCTTATTCACTGGATGGGTTTCAACAGTCACGTTAAAAGTAAGCTGAAAGTGTCAACATGTCTGTAGAATACATTTACATTCCATAAACAAATCATATCAAATGAAAATGGCACATACATTCTGTCAACAAACATTTCATGGCTTCACATTTCCTTTTTGAGAAAAGGACTGCTTAATTGGTCCAAACAAAGAATTATCCAAGAATTGATCAGAAACTAGAACTGTAAGCTAAAGGCAAATTAATATTCTAAGCTTTCCCATGACCTTGATCAAAATGAAAAGTAAATTGAGATATACATTACTGTATTAGGTGATGTCCATGGGTAGCAAATTCACACTAAAGTCTGATGAAAATATCAATAAGAGTTGAACTGATACATAAAAATCTAACTGTAAAAGAAACAGTTCAAAATGTTCCCCAAAACATCCCTTCAAACGTAAATGCAGCAACACAAAAGATGACATTTGAATCTGCCCAATAGAACTTAACTGCTGGGTGTCATTGTCTTGACCAATCAGAGGCTAAGGAGCCATCTTGAATCTTGAGACTTGAAAGTTGGTTGTTTGACATAAAAATATCACTTGTATATAAATATCCTACATAGTATCAAAGAAGCAGGCTCAAAAGAACTCCATTTCTATGCTCAAATGTCCTTTCCAATCAGAGTACAATGTATCAGTAAATTAAAGTCAGCCAAGTAAAACTGGAGTCACAACCATAATTGTCTAATCTAATCAGAAGCCATGGTAGGCATCTTGAATCCCAAAACTTAAAAGAACAGAAAAAGTATGTCCTTTGAACCCCCCTCTCTGAAGTTTTACTGTAATCTCACTAATCTGGCATATAGTTTAGCAGAAATTGTCTGGACAAAACATGTTTGTGATTTTGGTCAATGTAAAGTAAAAGCAGGATGTCTGACTGTCTGTAAAATTGTTTAAGCTTGAAAACACTGTAAAATAATTACCTTCACCGTGTCATTGGTGTTCCCCTTGTGACCTTGTAAGGTGAAGGTCACTAAAGTCTGGTTATGGTTTGGATGTAGAACAAGGGTCATGACTCTAAATTTGTTGCCAACAGCAGCGGTTCTTATGACACTGGACTGGTTGTAACTTGCATGATCAATCAACCCCTTCAAACCAACCAAGGTAGTCAGGTTGAAGTAGATGACGGTTTCACCTACAAATAATAGTTACAGGCCATGTTCTGTATAGTGCACAAATATCAAGAAGTGTGAACCCAAACACATTATAATAGTCCTTAAGTACGCTGCGGTATATATATTCCTGAGACATATATCCGTTATTCAAAACCTGTCTAGAAAATGGAGCAAGAGGCATCACATTTGAATTTCAAGTGACTGAAGCAGACGACAACAATGTGTAGAAAGAAGCCTTTTCATCTTCACAGTTGAGTTATTGTTCTATTTCAGTAAGATAAAATATTTATTGCCCTTGCGGAAGGGAAACAGGATTTTTTGTTTCTCCTTGATAAATTACATTTCATTTTGATTTCATCCTTATAAAATATTTTTTATCTTGAAAAACAAAGAAATAGAGTTTCTCTACCACAAGGGTGTGAAATGCATAAAGAAACATGTTTTGCACATGTTCATATCACAGAGCTCTGTCAGAAGTAAACCTTGTTTCCTCTGTTTTTTTAATTAAAAAAAGCAGGCATCGAAATGTACAATTTTACGGAGTACAACTGTATTATAATTAGTATTGAAATTTCCAAGTGTATGAAATCAGTGAAGCAAAGTGAAATCATTTGACCTTTAACCTGATAAGGTATAAACTCTCACCTTTAGGGATTGTGTAATTGGTTAATGTTGGGAGAAGGTCAACTCGATACAGTTGATTGTAGTTATCTATCCCACAATCCCCTGTGTCAAACCCGCACTCCAGTTTATTACAGGTCTGAAATAAAAGACAATTCATCATAAATTATAAAATAACCATCTTGGACAAAATGACAGTCGTTTGTTGTAATTTATCATTGCAAATTGATTTAAAAATCAGTTTTGGTTTAGAGTGGCTTAATTATGTTAGCTAGATAGGGCGCTATATCAAATGTTGTATATTATTATTATTATTAATTGGTCTTGTTTTTCCTCATCAAAATATGTTTTATTGACATGAATCAATGCACACATATTTCTAAATGTTTATAAGTGGGGCAGTGTAGAGACCATGAGTTTTAAATATGACTTATACAATGTATATGATAATTTTATAGAAGAATTATCTGAAGGCACTCAACTGTAAAAGTGTAGGTCACATTCATGACACATAAGTATTAATCATTCTATAATTATACACATACACAAAATAGGCCAAATAAATTATGAGAAATCTAATTGCCTACTTCTACGAAGGGCCATAACTCTGTATACAGTGGGGCACAAAACCTGGGCCGCATTCGTTTAACCCGATCCAAACGGTTGAACCTTTTGGACCAGAGTTGTTTATTTTTTAATAAGGTCACACCAAGTAATCTTATGCTGCTTTCAGGAGAGCCTTGACAAAGCCTTGCAAGGTCTGCATAAACATGTGCAGGTCTGCCAGGATTTATATCCGAAAATGTTACATTTAAAAACAGTCAAATGGGTTGAACAGAATATGCGAAAGAGGCCTTGGTTTTATTACATGACACTGAGACCCCATTAGGTGGTCACATGCAACATTTGGCAAGTGTAAATAACAGAGGGTATGAAATATGCCAAAGAAAAAGTGATGGGGAACAAAGGGCCATAACTCTGTATATACAGGGCACAAAGCCTGATTTAATATATGAAACTCCACCATATCAAGACGTACTTACATATTTGGCAATAATGGGTGACAGTATAGGAGTTATGCCCTGGACATAGTAACTCACTGACTAACGGACTGACTGACCAGATGAAGTGTAAACCTATTGTACCCATGGGAGACTAATTAGGAATTACCATGTAACAAAAAGATTCATCTATAAGGTTTTAACTGAAAACCCTCTAAACTTTACACATTTAACTGTCCTGTGTTACCCTACTAACTGTATCACAGTAGCGACCTGTCCTGTGTTACCCTACCTACTGTATCACAGTAGCGATCTGTCCTGTGCTACCCTACTTACTGTATCACAGTAGCGATCTGTCCTGTGTTCCCCTACTAACTGTATCACAGTAGCAATCTGTCCTGTGGTACCCTACTTACTGTATCACAGTAGAGATCTGTCCTGTGTTACCCTACTTACTGTATCACAATAGCGAGCTGTCCTGTGTTACCCTACTTACTGTATCACTATAGCGATCTGTCCTGTGTTACCCTACTTACTGGATCACAGTAGCGATCTGTCCTGTGTAACCCTACTTACTGTATCACAGTAGCGATCTGTCCTGTGCTACCCTACTTACTGTATCACAGTAGCGATCTGTCCTGTGTAACCCTAGCTACTGTATCACAGTAGCGATCTGTCCTGTGTAACCCTAGCTACTGTATCACAGTAGCGATCTGTCCTGTGGTACCCTACTAACTGTATCACAGTAGCAATCTGTCCTGTGGTACCCTACTTACTGTATCACAGTAGAGATCTGTCCTGTGTTACCCTACTTACTGTCTCACAGTAGCAATCTGTCCTGTGTTACCCTACTTACTGTATCACTATAGCGATCTGTCCTGTGTTACCCTACTTACTGTCTCACAGTAGCAATCTGTCCTGTGTTACCCTACTGTCTGTATCACAGTAGCGATCTGTCCTGTGTTACCCTACTTACTGTATCACAGTAGCGATCTGCCAGCCAGGAATTTGGACAGCCTTGATAGCAATAGTCTGTGAAAAAGATCAAAAGAAATGGATATTCATTAAGCAAATAATATTCTGTCTGAATTATGTATGATTGTACTTGTTTTTGAAAAGCAAGATCAATTTTTCGAGAAAAATCATTTACTATTAGCAACAATATGATCAGGGCCCAGTTTCATGAACATTCCTTAACTTTACGAAACTCCTTAACTCAAGAATTTCCATTGAAATGCATTATTGGTGTTAAGGTAAACTTTAAGTTAAGGAAATTCTCCTTAATTTCAGCAATGCTTTCCAATGTATACACTTAACAAATTTCTTAAGTTTAGGAACTTTTGTAAAACTAATGCCATTTAAATAAGCATTCACAAAAGACTGCTGACATATTTTCCTAAATGCACAGAATGTACTAGTGTACAGATTGTAGATTCAATGTTGTAACTGAAGAGGCTCTGTTGAAGCCATAATCTACATACCTGCCCCAGCATCACCTTGCCACACTCCTCCCTGCCAGTGAGCAGCTTGATTTACATGGTCACCTACAAAATACAGTCATTACAAGCATGATTAGCCTTACTTGGTAAAAGAAACATTATCCTATCAAATGAAGATATATTTAATAAATGAAGTTTATATAGGTTTGTAAGGCTTGAATGCTCGCTTTGCCCTGTGAATGACAAATAAATATCGACAGTGACCTTCACATTGACCTTAAGCTTGGGATCCTGAAATACAAACTCATCTATTGTACTCTCATACTTGACCTTTGTATAAACTTTGATGAAAATCTGTAAAGAACTGAAGTTTGAAGTAGTCATGACAGTGAATAACAATGGGAGAGGACAGGATGGGATGGGAAGTGACCAGACAAAACAGACATTGGTACTCTATGACAATCACTGTATCCCCCCCATAAAATGGCAGCGACAAAAAACGAACAAGAAAAATGACAAATGGTCCAGAGGAATCACAATAGATTATTCTACTGTAAGTTAAAATCTATCTTTCAATGTATTGCCTGTAACAGTTTTTCATTTATTTCCATGGTTACCTGTGCAGTCTCCACCATCCCATTCACATTCAGAGTTGTTACACGCCTTGTCACAGTAGCCATCTTTGATCCAAGTTGTCGGGCAGCCATCTTGACAGTTTGGAACAGGCCAAGTCAAATACACCTACAAAACAGTTGTATAAATTATCTTCATTAGTGAAGAAGGATTTTGTGTCAAATTCATTGGGGTGTTGTTAATTAGATAAGAATTGTTACAAAACATCAGAAAATATCTTTTCAACTGTGCTTTTGTAAAGATTAAACTTAAAAATTTGAAGTTTAATTTAAATTCTGAAAAAATCTTTCAAAATATTCTGATATTGTTTCATCCTTTAATCTGTTGGAAGATTGGTTACATCACTACACTGGCTACAGAGTTGACTACCGATACAAATGGTTAGGGAGAGAATGAGTCTGTGACCATGCATAATGACTTATGCCATAATTGTAATTATGCCAAAAAAATCATACTGAACTTTGACCTATACTGAAAAGTCTCAATGACCTATGACCTCCACGAAAGGTGTTTACAATTATGCGAAATTCAAACTGATCTTTTAACAAATACTGACAATGTAACAATGTAGAGAATATCTCAAAGTTAGGACCTCAGATCGGTGGAAGACATCAATATGCAAACAATTCCATACTGACCTTTTAACCTATACTGAAAGTCAGTGTAACCTATGACCTCCACTAAAGCTGTTATTATGCAGAAAAATACATACTGACCTTTTGACCCCCACTGAAGGTGTAGAAGTCATCAGGCCACACCTCTTTCCCAAACATGACATCATCATTAAGGTAGATGAAGCGTTTGGACAGTCCAGGAATCCGATGGACATGGGCCTCTATAGCCGGTGAGCTAAAGGTCGGCAGGTGAGTCTTATTAGGGAACAAATCCTGTAAAATAAACCAGTATATTGTAATTAATCGGTATCAAAACAAAAACGTTCATATTGCTAAGCTATATTGTTTTCTGTTCAGAAGTGAGAAAATATATTTATATGTGTTTACATAGAACCAATTACTGTCATTGTCTGACAATAGGCCCATGCCTGGTAATAAGCCCACCCATTTATGGTATCTTTGCAGGATAAATACGGTAGAATTACTTACACACTTATTACTATTACTATTAGGAGCAATAAGCCAGTGTTATATCCTTAAGCAGGTTCAGATTTGTGCATTTTGGAAAACTGACCTTAGCAGGGAGAATAGAAAGATAGTCAACTGCTTGACTATAAGACAGCCATTAACAAAATGTTCCTATCCTTAAATACTGAGCAAAAGATAATCCGCATTTTAATGCACCTTATTTACACCCTCTCCTTAATGCTTGAAAGATATGCATTAACACATTGCATAATTATTCATTCTATATACATAGAATTTTACCGTAAAGTGACATATCTATGTGCACATGAAATTTAAAGGATTTTTTATACAAATTTAGAAGAAGAAAAAAAGAGAATTAATAGAGGGAAAAGGAAAACGGTCTGTCTATCCCTTACCTCGTGTGTAACCACGGTGACTCTGGGATGTTCCATGTTGAGCCAATAGGGGATTTGTCCGTTAGTAATGATATAAATGTGTCGGACCCAAGGAGCAAATCTGTCAATGGATCGCAGTGAATATCTCAGTTCTTCGTTGTCCTCAAAGCGACTGGCAGATACATCCTCATTTCTCCGGAACTAAAATAAATGTGTATAATTGTAAAATTACTGCATTTACAGACCATCATATTAATAAGAACACTGACTATTTTCAGTAACAGTGACCTTGACCTTAGAAACTTTTCAAATTCTTATTGCACAGCTTCATATCACAGTGTATCACCAGGTCAAATTTCAAATAGATTAGTCTTTTGGATTCTGAGATAATATCTGGAAATAAAAGTGTGGACGGATAGAATGGACAGACAGATGAATGGACATTGTGATAATAATGCACTCATATATCGGATGTGAGCCCTAAAAAATCTTTCCAAAAATTATAATCTGACAATTTATTAAACATTTACACTGACAAAATGGTTGACATTAATATTTAATGGAAAGGATACTGGTAATAATAATAATAATAATTTGAGGTTCTTATATATCACTTAATGACAACCTAGTTCATAGGTCGTCTCAAAACAGTTCACAAATTATTGTCCATGGTTATAGGGCCTTTGCAACCAGCCAACATCTTTCTCAACTCCCTGGGTAGCATACAGCCGGTGCTGCCATTTTGGCGCTCACAGCTAGCGTTCAACAATTCTAGCACTGCCCAACCAAATACTCATTTACAGCTGAGTAGACTGGACCAAGCGGAGTAAAGTATCTTGCTCAAAGATACAACATAGTGCCGTGCCGTGCCGTGACTCAAACCCGCAACCCTTTGGTCACAAGCCCAGCGTCCTACCACTAGACTACCGAGCCTCCCAAACAAATGTGCGTGGTAAATCGATCAGTGTCCATGTTCTTACTTACATCTCTTAGGTCCCAGAATAGATTGGCAGCATTCAGTGTTGGCTCCTTGCCATCAAACGAAAAATTATTGGCCTAAAAGAAAAGGCAATGTTGATAATATCATCATACAGATCTGGAAGAAAGCTATTAATAGGATACATTCAAATTAATCAAACTTTTTATTGACACAAGAAAAGAACAAGAAAGAAAACAAAATTATTTTACTGATGCAAGACAGTAATTAATGAATTCAGTAGAAATTGAAATAAACTTACAGCTAGGATTCTGTTGAAATCATCATGTTGTGGAACATACATCACCACCAGGCCTTCTTCACTGTGTAACTCCATCTAAAACAGCCAATCCAAACCTTTATTACCCACACAACACAATCAGCCAATCCAAACCCTGCTTACAACACAATCAGCCAATCTAAACCCTGATTACAACACAATCAGCCAATCAAAACCCTGATTACAACACAATCAGCCAATCAAAACCACAATTACAACACAATCAGCCAATCCAAACCTTAACCAGAATTAAAAGACAATAAGTCAATCAAAACCAAGATCTCACCACATAAGCCAATCTGAACCATGATTACAACACACTCAGACAATCAAAATCAGGATTATAACACCGTCTATAAGGGCCTCTTGTTTCAAACTTATAAATGTGGCCTTAAATTTCTTCTACAGAAATAGTTCATCTTACATCTTGGTCAAAAGAATAATTGCTTGTCCTAGTGTAATAACAATAAGCACATGCCTGGTAATAAGCCCACCCAAATCTATTGCTGTTTAGGAGAAATGAAAACAAATTCTATTTCATTGTCCCGTTTTAAGGCAAACCTTTACTTTGAGTTTGAGATTATATGCCAGCCCCCCCTTGATTTACTGTAGGATATACACGATAAGAGATTATATGCCAGCCCCCCCTTGATTTACTGTAGGATATGCACGATAAGAGATTATATGCCAGCCCCCCTTGATTTACTGTAGGATATACACGATAAGAGATTATATCTCTACTGTGTAGAACATAACACTAACTATACAGCTTACCTTGTCCACACCATTTTTGACATTGTTTGGCAGTTTATCCTTCAGCTCTTCCAGACTGTACTTAGATGGTATTCCTGCCATGATAATCACGTCTGACATCAGTATACTGTTGGGAACAGTCCAGTCTGTCGTCTGCAAATAAAGTAAAACATTAATATAATGCCTCTCGTTTCATTTGCCAACTCCATTCCTGCCAACATATGTCAAAGTCCCCTTTTCCATTTTTTCTTGACAATTTCTTGATTTATTACCTCATTATATTGTCGACCCTTTTATAATGAAAACATATGTCTTGATGGCGGCACTTTAACAAGGTTTTACTTTATTGGTGAAATTCAAGGAGTAATATTTTGTTGTTCATGATTCTTCATTTGTTGACTGCAATTGGATTAGAAAGCAAAATGTATAATAGAAATAAAATGTTCAATAATTAGCCATAATTGAGAGAGATCAACAAAGCTAAAACGTATTACAATCTGAAGTTAAAATATGTTCCTTACAGTTTAAGAGAAACACTGACCAACGGAACCTTATTTGTAAGGACAAACTAAAGATGTTACCCCCTTTTTTTTTAGAAGACTTAATTACTCATTGTCATATGTAGTTCATTACAACTAAGCCTTCATTAGTCAACCAACTTACAATATATCTGTTACTAACTGTCACATTTAGCTCATTTACAAACACTAACAGACCAACTTACAATATATCTGTTACTAACTGTCACATTTAGCTCATTTACAACTACTAACAGACCAACTTACAATATATCTGTTACTAACTCTCACATTTAGCTCATTTACAACCACTTACAGACCAACTTACAATATGTCTGTTACTAACTGTCACATTTAGCTCATTTACAACTACTAACAGACCAACTTACAATATATCTGTTACTAACTCTCACATTTAGCTCATTTACAACCACTTACAGACCAACTTACAATATATCTGTTACTAACTGTCACATTTAGCTCATTTACAACCACTAACAGACCAACTTACAACATGTCTGTTACTAACTGTCACATTTAGCTCATTTACAACCAATAACAGACCAACTTACAACATGCCTGTTACTAACTGTCACATTTAGCTCATTTACAACCACTAACAGCCCAACTTACAATATATCTGTTACTAACTGTCGCATTTAGCTCATTTACAACCACTTACAGACCAACTTACAATATATCTGTTACTAACTCTCACATTTAGCTCATTTACAACCACTTACAGACCAACGTATAATATGTCTGTTACTAACTGTCACATTTAGCTTATTTACAACCACTAACAGACCAACTTACAATATGTCTGTTACTAACTGTCGCATTTGGCTCATTTACAACCACTAACAGACCAACTTAAAATATATCTGTTACTAACTGTCACATTTAGCTTATTTACAACCACTAACAGACCAACTTACAATATATCTGTTTCTTACTTTCACATTTAGCTCATTTACAACCACTTACAGACCAACGTATAATATGTCTGTTACTAACTGTCACATTTAGCTTATTTACAACCACTAACAGACCAACTTACAATGTGTCTGTTACTAACTGTCACATTTAGCTCATTTACACCAACTTACAATATATCTGTTACTAACTCTCACATTTAGCTCATTTACAACCACTTACAGACCAACGTATAATATGTCTGTTACTAACTGTCACATTTAGCTTATTTACAACCACTAACAGACCAACTTACAATATGTCTGTTAGTTCTAACTGTCACATTTAGCTCATTTACAACCAATAACAGACCAACTTACAATATGTCTGTTACTAACTGTCGCATTTGGCTCATTTACAACCACTAACAGACCAACTTACAACATGCCTGTTACTAACTGTCACATTTAGCTCATTTACACCAACTTACAATATATCTGTTACTAACTCTCACATTTAGCTCATTTACAACCACTTACAGACCAACTTACAATATATCTGTTACTAACAGTCACATTTAGCACATTTACAACCACTAACAGACCAACTTACAATGTGTCTGTTACTAACTGTCACATTTAGCTCATTTACACCCACTAACAGACCAACTTACAATATGTCTGTTAGTTCTAACTGTCACATTTAGCTCATTTACAACCAATAACAGACCAACTTACAATATGTCTGTTACTAACTGTCGCATTTGGCTCATTTACAACCACTAACAGACCAACTTAAAATATATCTGTTACTAACTGTCACATTTAGCTCATTTACACCCACTAACAGACCAACTTACAATGTGTCTGTTACTAACTGTCACATTTAGCTCATTTACAACTACTAACAGACCAACTTACAATGTGTCTGTTACTAACTGTCACATTTAGCTCATTTACAATCACTAACAGACCAACTTACAATATGTCTGTTAGTTCTAACTGTCACATTTAGCTCATTTACAACCACCAACAGACCAACTTACAATATATCTGTTACTAACGGTCACATTTAGCTCATTTACAACCACTAACAGCCCAACTTACAATATATCTGTTACTAACTGTCACATTTGGCTCATTTAAAACCACTAACAGACCAACTTACAATATGTCTGTTAGTTCTAACTGTCACATTTAGCTCATTTACAACCACCAACAGACCAACTTACAATATATCTGTTACTAACGGTCACATTTAGCTCATTTACAACCACTAACAGCCCAACTTACAATATATCTGTTACTAACTGTCACATTTAGCTCATTTACAATCACTAACAGACCAACTTACAATATGTCTGTTACTAACTGTCGCATTTGGCTCATTTACAACCACTAACAGACCAACTTACAACATGTCTGTTACTAACTGTCACATTTAGCTCATTTACAACCACTAACAGACCAACTTACAATGTATCCACTCCTAATTGTCACGTTCAGTTCATTTACAACTAAGTCCTCGCTTTGGAGGGTTGACACTGAAATAGAAAACAATTGTACCTGTAAAACTGTTCCTAACACATAAAAGTCACCTCTGAATTTGGGTTTGAAAAATACATGTTGCTTTAATTACATGCAAATCTATTCTATGTTATCTTCCATTGACTTTCCTTTTTAATGTGTTTCGCGGTAATCATATTCAAAGCAATATCTAGAGAATATTTCATATATATCAAGAACTTAAGAAAGGTGTCTCAATTGCGGCATGTTTGACAGATACGTTCTCGCCTACTTCGCGGTTTATAAGTTGTATACTGTATACTGGGAAATGTTTGCAGCAGTGTAATTTTTCGCCTCCACAATGAGGGTGGATTTATCAATACAGCGAACGTTTGTTAACAACATAATATATATAGTTAAAGGATGTAACCCTTGAAGAGCGAAACTCTGACTGGATGAAAATTTTAAAGTATACAGTATATATGCCTAAATTGTTATTTTCTATTTGTACCCTGTCTTTGGAAAAGATTTCGGGTTAATAAAAAAGATAAAGTGGAACAGCAATGCTCCAGGTTGAGAAGTTTAATTAAATCCTAAATCATTAAATGGTAGAGAATTTTCAAGAATGGACAATTTAAAATCACTGTATTTTTATATTTATTATAGAACTCCGACCATAATCCACAATGTAAAGACATACTGTTAAAGGTATCTGGAAAAGCAACAACACTGAAGTTCAATTTATCCTCAGTATTAGATGTCACAGGAAACAGCTTCTGGGCATGCTTGAATGTTGAGCATATCCTGGATAGTTCTTCCAGAGTCATCTCCTTCGGCAGTGGTGGTTCCAGAATGACCATGTTGGTCTTTAGGCAGTTGGTGAAGGTACATTTTTCTTCTCTGTAATACAGTGATGTGAATCAGTTGAATTTAACTAAACAGAATATCCATATAATTGAAAACTGAAGATCCATTAAACTACAAGTTATGGATATTTAAACTACCACTGATGGTCAATTTAACTACAGCTGGTAGTCAATTAAACAATAAATGACGGTTAATTTAACAAATGATGGTCAATTAAACGACAACTGAATATCCATTTAATAAATAAACTTTGAATAAATTAAACTACAACATATGGCCAATTAAACTACAACATTTGGCCAATTAATCTACAGCTAGTAGTCAATTAAACTACAACTGAAAGTCAATTAAACAACTAGTAGACAAATAGCTTTTGACACAATTTATTGCCAAATACAGCCTTCTAACAAAACGTGAACATGACAAGAGGCTAATTGAACATACACTCTAGCATGTTATCTATACACCAACCACCATAAAAAATACCTGTACCTTCAGCAACAGACAATGACATACCATAATTTTTCATGTCATTTTAGATAACACATGTGATCATACCTGATATGTTTTACAAGAAAAGTACAATGAATTTTCAAAAATCAATGAAAAAAAATAGAAGAAAATTTATTTTTAGTCCTACCCCTTCTTATTGTAGGAAATTTAATCAACAACGGCGATTTTTTGACACAATCATTTGTACAGAATACAATGTTCTGTTATAACATAAAACCAGTTAAAGTACAGACTTTTCAACTGATTTTTTTAATAACTTTGTGACAAATTAGCTATCTGTAAAATGATATTCTGGATTTCTATGAATGATATATTTTGTAACTACAACAATATAATGCTTGAAAACACTTTTTATGAGTTACTTACCTGTAAGTTATCAATAAGCACATAGATTTTCCCCACATTTTACTCAAATTGACAAAATACTATCTGTTGTCTATATAATGGTGTGTACTGCAGGTAGGCATATCAAATTAACAAAAACAAAACAAAACACCATTCCATGCACACACACAATTGATTGAAATACACCCCACCACAAATTTGAACGAATATTGAGGGATTCAAAAGTGAGTAATAAAGCATGTTGGTATATTGTTCTAGTGTCTACAGTGAGAAAAGTTTGTTTTACAGACACCTACTCCTTGGAAATTAGATAAATTTAAAAGACAGCTTGTGTTTTATCATTCTGGAAAATGTTTTATTAATTCTTTTTTTAAAACCAGTGCCCATATTGAACCATACTGTCATTATTACTTACGAGACCTATATCTATCGCTACTTGAACATGGTAATATGTCGACATGTGCTTAAGCTTAATAATATTGCAACAAATTGTTAATATACTAAAGTGGAATTAGTATCGAAGCATTTTTATTTATTTACTTCAATTAGAATAACTACACATGTACTATATTTTATATAAAAAATACTCCATTTGATTGTCTTAAATTTATGATAGATGTATTTTTATTACTGTTTTGAATATGTTTCTAATTTCTAACTACCAGGTACACTCTGTGCTTCAAAGAAAACAAAATGACACTATATTTGGTCAAATTTCAACAACAAAAATGTTAATTGGTCTCAGTATATGTAACAGCTTAAAGTTATGGTATAACATGTTAACTCGTTCATTTTAATTGGTCTCAGTATATGTAACAGCTTGAAGTTATGGTATAACATTTTAACTCGTACATTTTAATTGGTCTCAGTATATGTAACAGCTTGAAGTTATGGTATAACATGTTAGCTCGTACATTTTAATTGGTCTCAGTATATGTAACAGCTTGAAGTTATGGTATAACATGTTAACTCGTACATTTTAATTGGTCTCAGTATATGTAACAGCTTGAAGTTATGGTATAACACGTTAACTCGTACATTTTAATTGGTCTCAGTATATGTAACAGCTTGAAGTTATGGTATAACATGTTAGCTCGTACATGTTAATTGGTCTCAGTATATGTAACAGCTTGAAGTTAATTGTTAACTCGTACATTTTAATTGGTCTCTGTATATGTAACAGCTTGAAGTTATGGTATAACATGTTAACTCGTACATTTTAATTGGTCTCAGTATATGTAACAGCTTGAAGTTGTTAACTCGTACATTTTAATTGGTCTCGGTATATGTAACAGCTTGAAGTTATGGTATAACATGTGAACGCGTACATTTTAAAGTCAACATGTGATATATGTCTAAATACATATTGTAATACCAAACATTAATGCTAGCTTGTTTGATTTCATCACTTTTAGACATACAATGAAGCAGAGGTACTACAAACACACTTTTAACAACATCTCAAACTCAAGCTTAGAAAGAAGCCATGTATGCTCCTTCTGGCAAAACATTTTCTCCTGAACACCAAATTCTACCATAAATTTTGGCTTTAGCAAACAGATTTTCTAGGACAAACATGCTTAAAACCATAAAGCCAGGTAATACTATAGGTGGGTATACCTTTATGCAACAAAAATACACAACTTTAATATATGAAGTTTGCATAATATACTTACCCATTTTCAGTCTTTGCTGTTAATCTAATGTTAAAATTGTATTGAAATATTTATTCAAACTTAATTTATTTTACACCAATTATTAAACAGGTTATATTAACTTACATTAATCAGTAGTGTTAGCCAGGATGTTAGGGTGCAGGGGTCTTAATGTGAGAGGAAACAGGAGTACCAAGAGAAAACCATCCACAGTGCCACCAACCACCCAAAATTGTACCAAAACAAGTATAAGGTATTTCATCCTTTTTATACTGGATATCTTGAATATCCTGTTTGTACTGGATACTTTTAATACCCTGTTTATCCTTGATATCTCAAATACTGTTTATCCTTGATATCTTGAATACCCTGTTTATCCTTGATATCTTGAATACGCTGTTTATCCTTGATATCTTGAATATCCTGTTCATCCTTGATATTTTGAATATCCTGTTTATCCTGGATATCTTGAATACCCTGTTTATCCTGGATATCTTGAATACCCTGTTTATATTGGATATCTTGAATACCCTGTTTATCCTTGATATCTTGATTACCCTGTTTATCCTTGATATCTTGAATACCATGTTTATCCTTGATATCTTGATTACCCTGTTTATCCTTGATATCTTGAATACCCTGTTTATCCTTGATATCTCAAATACCCTGTTTATCCTTGATATATTGAATACCCTGTTTATCTTGGATGTCTTGAATACCCTGTTTATCCTGGATATCTTGAAAACCCTGTTTATCTTGGATATATTGAATACCCTGTTTATCTTGGATGTCTTGAATACCCTGTTTATCCTTGACATCTTGAATACCCTGTTTATCTTGGATGTCTTGAATACCCTGTTTATCTTGGATACATTGAATACCCTGTTTATATTGGATGTCTTGAATACCCTGTTTATCCTTGATATCTTAAATACCCTGTTTATCCTTGATATCTTAAATACCCTGTTTATCCTTGATATCTTGAATACCCTGTTTACCCTTGATGTCTTGAATACCCTGTTTATCTTGGATGTCTTGAATACCCTGTTTATCCTTGATATCTTGAATACCCTGTTTATCCTTGATATCTTGAATACCCTGTTTATCCTTGATATCTTGAATACCCTGTTTATCCTTGATATCTTGAATACCCTGTTTATCCTTGATATCTTGAATACCCTGTTTATCCTTGATATCTTGAATACCCTGTTTATCCTTGATATCTTGAATACCCTGTTTATCCTTGATATCTTGAATACCCTGTTTACATTGGATGTCTTGAAAACCCTGTTTATATTGGATGTCTTGAATACCCTGTTTATCCTTGATATCTTAAATACCCTGTTTATCCTTGATATCTTGAATACCCTGTTTACCCTGGATATCTTGAATACCCTGTTTATCTTGGATGTCTTGAATACCCTGTTTATCCTGGATATCTTGAAAACCCTGTTTATCATGGATGTCTTGAATACCCTGTTTCTCTTTGATACCATTATCATATTCTGCCAAAATTCCCCAAGTAGGATGAAGTTACCTTGTGATGTTTAGTTCCTCCTCCATGTCCAGTTTGACCTTGCGGAGCTGGTTGATGAGTTTGGGGTCAGATCCATTCACCCAGGTATAGACAACATCTATGGGCACTGGCAAGCACAACCTAGTAAAAATAAGTCAACCAATTGCTATCATCAGCATTAAAATATGCAAATTCAATATATAATCCTTAAATGTTTTATTTGTTCTTCAAATTTCAGGTATCTGTCCAATAGATGCAACAGCCAACATGTTCATTATTTATGTATCCTGCTTGTCACAGTTGCTTTATTTAGTTATGACATACAGAAAATTAAAAAAATAAATAAATAAATCATTGTCAAACTATAGCTACATTCTAGAATCTTAACATGAATAATGTTATTAATTTTGAGTGAGAACATTTTCCAATATTGAAATAAACTCCTATTTCTAATGAGAGTTTAAATTCTTTATTTTAATGACGTTGTGAATAAAAAAGCCTTTTGTAAGTTGCATTGAAAACAAGTTTGCAATCTTCAAATATTTGTAAAATAAAATACAGCCAGACACTCTTGCTCCCCCTTCCCTTCCATACCCCACTTTTCCAAAACCGTTTGCTTTCTTTCTGACACACTCTTGGATCTGCCTGCAATAATCTTTAGTTCGCTAATTATAGGCATGAAACACACTTTACCTCGCTCTTTAAGACTTTCCCCCCAAATCATCACTTTCCGACTAACACACTCCTGGATCTGCCTGCAATAATCTTTAGTTCGCTAATTATAGGCATGAAACACACTTTACCTCGCTCTTTAAGACTTTCCCCCCAAATTATCACTTTCCGACTAACACACTCCTGGATCTGCCTGCAATAATCTTTAGTTCGCTAATTATAGGCATGAAACACACTTTACCTCGCTCTTTAAGACTTTCCCCCCAAATCATCACTTTCCGACTAACACACTCCTGGATCTGCCTGCAAAAATCTTTAGTTCACTAATTATATGCATGAATAACACTTTACCTTTCTCTAAAGGACTTTCCAGCCAAATTATCACTGTAGGAGTTGAAAACAGCTGCATACTTTTCTTCACTCCATTCCAAAACTGTCTGAAAATTTATGAATTAAACTTAATTACAAAGTTATTCAGTTAAATGACACATCAACAGTGTTGGTTTTACTATACTTTGTAATTTTTATGAGCAGTCCTCATGGAAGTGGTAGATTTTTTTATTTTTTATTATGGCTTTTAAATTAGCTGATTGTTTTTTTAAGACATGGGTTAATTAGTTTTTTATGAAACTGTTTTATATTGAAAATGACAGAGACCAAAATATTTGGTCATTTTATACAGGTTCTGATTTTTACAGTCAATGATGTTAGTCGACAGATTGCATTTTTCGAGTCTGGAAAAAATCATCTGCAGTGTTATTATCTAAAAGATGTGCATTTATTAGGTTGCCTTTCAAGCGTAAGCTGTACGGAATTTTCCTATAGCTCAGCAGTAGAGCATCAGGCTGGAGAGCCAAGGGTCACAGGCTCGGGCCCCAGCACTATCTTTATCACTATTCCTCGTCCTACTTCAACTAGATAGCAGATAATTGAAATGCCGGAAAAAAAGCCAAGCTTGTCTATTGAAGGTCACTTCAGTGTGTAAAGATTTCAAAGTAATTAAAATGATTAATACAGCATTAAATTTTATACTTTTCCTTCTCATTGAATGTCATTTCCAGGGAGTATTTAAACCCTGAAAACGATAGTTGTTTGTTGGAGATTTAACACACTTTTTGCTTCCCTGACAACAAATTTGTTGCCTTTAATTCCGACATGGCTCGGACTCCATAGTAAAGTTATCTTAGATTTTGTTTAAGATACGAGATATTCGAAAAGCAAGATTTTGTACGAGTGTGTTTTTAGGATCTCATAACTGTAAACTTTGTAGGACAGATAGAGAGTCTGAACAAATGGTTGCCTTTTTAATGCGGTGTTCATCGATATGGACAAGGGCCAAACCAATGGCGCATGATTCGGCAGAAAAGATGGAGGCACCGTCTGGTAGTCGAACTGAAGTGCAAGACTTAGCAGTAAGGCAGGCTGCTGCCACTTTCTCACCTTCTTTGGAACCATCAGTGTAAAGTCATGTATGAGAAGGGTAATTCTAAATCCATTCCCGAAAGGAGGATTTGTGTTCTTCGGGCATTACACTAGACTTTACTCGCTCATGTAATATTAATTAAGTTATAATCAGGTGTTTGTATGGTCTATGGAGGAACATCAGATGTTAAATTCAGCTATGTTGGTCAACTTTATTTTGAGTTCTTGCAGGAAATTTGAAATTTGGATACCAAATGTTGGCAGAAGTTTTGGGTTTTGCTTAAATATGTTTTGGTATTTTGGGTTGAATACTTGGCCAAAAGCAGGATTTTTAGGGTTTTATTTTAATTGAGCTGCAAACTGTAATGCAAGTTTTTTCCTTCTGTCATAAAGAGATGGTTCATTCGCTTCCATGTACAGGCTTTTTACAGGTGTTGTTCGAAAAGCTCCAAGGGATAGATGTAGCCCTTGGTTATGGATTGGGTCTAGCATCTGCAGGTAAGAACTGCGCGCAAACCCGTATACCATAGTACCATAATCCAGTTTTGTTTGAATAAGTGATCTGTATAGGCGCAAAAGCATTTCACGGTTCGTTCCCCAATCAGTATCAGAAAGGACTCTTATAATGTTTAATGCCTTGCAACACTTATCCTTCAGATACTTTATATGTGGTAGGAAAGAGAGTTTCAAATAAAAAATGAGGCAGAGAAATTTAGTGTGTTCAACAACAGGAATACTAGTGCCATCAAGTGTAAGATTTGGTTCATTGTGTGCTTTTCGTTTTTGACAGAAATGCATGCACAGACTTTTGGATTTAGAGAATTTGAAGCCATTTTCGTTTGCCCAATCAACTCTCGTCCTACTTCAGCTAGATAGCAGATAATTGAAATGCCGAAAGAAAAGTCAAGCTTGTTTAATGAAGGTCACTTCAGTGTGTAAAGATTTCAAAGTAATTAAAAGGATTAATACAGCATTACATTTTAGACTTTTCCTTCTCCTTAAATGTCATTTCCAAGGAGTATTTAAGTATTTAAACCCTGAAAACTGATTTTCAAACATTTTCATTTATAGGATCAAGTACTGCAAAAGCAGGAGATTCCAAAAGATACATACTACAATACATGTATATGCAGGTCATGGACTCAATATGGAGGTCATTTGCAGGTAGACCTGTGCAAATGCAAGTGACGTTTGTTGACAAAACCTATAAGCATTGAAAAATATGTACTTGGAAATGGAATTGATGATGTTTGCATTGTCTATTATGCTGTGTATTCAGAAATGCCGCGATGGCTCAGCATTCACCTAATGACACCCCGTCAAACGTAACATTTTATTTGTAACGAAAGCCCACACTTTCGGCAAGACGTTTCAGTATATGACTAAGCTTAGTTCCAGCTTAGGAACGTTTGAATCTAAAATCATTCTACACTTTCAAATGAGTAGCCCCCTGATGATCATATAGAGTTAAGTCTCCGGAATGTCCTGGCTTGCCATGTTGATGAGCACTGAGCCGTGCAGCATTTCTATTGAAACGCAAGTTCCGATTGGTGGTTGGGTGAACCAGCTAGCCAATCAGCAAAACAACTTGCTGTCGGCTAGCTACAGTATCCAAGGCCGTTTTTGTTTAAACGGTTAACCGGTTGGACCACAGTTGTTCGTTTATTAAATAAGGTCGGACCTAGTAATCTGATGTTGCTTTCAGGCGAGCCTTGACAAAGCCTTGCAAGGCCTGCATAAACATTTGCAGGTCTGCCAGGATTTATACCCGAAATTGTTACATTTATAAACGGTCAAACCGGTTGTTCCACATAAATGAACAGGCCCCAAGTTTATTATGTGTTAAAACTAAATTAGTCAAACTATGATTGATCGAGGGAAACAATGATCGATTAATCGTTTTTTCAGGAACAAACGACCAGACGTCTACTAAATCGATTAATTGGAACAGCACTACCCAAGCCTGAAAAAAAACAGTGATATATTTCATTCATGAACCAGACTTTTTTGTAGTCTAACAAGCGTATGAAAATATTGTGTGCAAATGACCTCGCCATTTTTTTCCACTTCCGAAGAGCGAAGGAGACATTCTTATATCGATAAACACTGTTTGCAATGAAACGCAAACCTTGTAATGCAATGAACTTCCAATTTAAAAAAATTTAAACAGAATATAATGAGACTTAACTTACCATGAACCAAAACTTATATTAGACTGCACAAAAAACAACAACATATATTCTATTATAACTAAATAAATGAAATAGACATAAATTACATGATTTCGTTCAAGTTTACATATTGAAAATGAAAATCAAAAGATATCTTTCTTTATTCCAAACGAAGCTTTTGTCCATGCAGGACACTTTAGAGAATTTCTTTTTAATGTATTCGAGTTATTTTTTCTTGAACACTAAATAAAAATAGACACACGGAAACATATGACGGCTACTTCCGACTGGAGAAATTGGTTAAAAAATGTTTGTTCTGATATTTTTTTAAAATACTGTTTTGTGTTGCTAGTTTTTTGTTTCCATTAGTAGATTGGGTACATGTTTATGACAGTCATCCGTAATTTCAACAAATTTCTACCGATATGAGTATGAAATCGTGACTGCTTTTTAACCCTTCAGAACCCCCCCTGGAAATTTGGAAACCCAACCAGATAGGTCTCTGGATCCACCACTGGAAGATGACGTTATTACCAAATCGTTGACATTTAGGCCTAAATGTGCTGTTAAAACTGTAGATATTGAGCATGAACAGAATATCCTGAGCAACACAATTAATGCCATTTACAATTTACCAGGTATATAATTATAATTAAATAGATTCAAGTATGCAAGATCCGTTCCCTCGTGGTTGATTGACTGTCAGTTACTCCAACAATGTTAGAGGTTTTACAAGGCAAAAACTTTTGACAGGCATCCCGTCGCAGTCGGTTAAATCATATCTGATAGAAAAAAGGCTGACCAGCGGCCTATCATGTTACAGGAGTAGACTGTCATAAGTCATTTTCATAAAAAGGTTTGGTGTCCAGCAGCTTTGCTGCATGTTCTTGTTAATTTTTAAGCTTATTTTATATTTCTAATGATCACTTCGTATAGAAAAATTGTTACTATAAATTCATCATATTTCTTGATCAACTCATATTTGATGTTATCTTTCAGTTGAACAAAAGTAAACAAAGGGGAGGGCAAGTTCGAGTACTCTCCCCTTCAAATATTTACCTCTCCAAAATGGAATGCAGATATTGTGACAAGAGCTATGGCACCAATGACAATAAGCAATCCATATCTGTGGGAAACAATGTCATAAGCTTGCTTTTGTAATGCTTTCTGAAAATTGCTCGGCATCTTGCTTTCAATGCATCATCTAGCCGCAGCCAACTGCTGCCATGGGCGCTACCATTACACGTGTGACTACTTCCTGTTTGGAATTATTACTTCCGGTTTTGGTTACTGAAAAAATAGTAATATATCCATACAAGAGAAAGAAATACAATTATTTTATATATCGCGTATTATAATGTTGCTTTACGAACAATGAGAGATCGTTTCTTCCTGTTAATTATTATAAGATTTGTGTTATACGAAACTTTCTTGCTATATATTTTAAGGAAATCAAGATGGCAGCCCTCAGGGAAGCACTTGCTCTTTTGACAAATCCAGCTCCTGTTTTCCAAGATCCCGAAGATAATGAAGATGGTATGCATATGGACATCTAGCAACCGTTTGTTTGTTAGTGATCGAGTTTACAAATCGGAAGCTAGTTCTTTTAATATGTAAATGATACATTTTTGCTCCACATGTAACACACGTGTCTTTCCGGGAATCGGGGGGGGGGTCTGTATCTGTATAATACAGTTGTTACAGCAGTAGCGGATCACTTTGCATATAATTGCTACACACGATTTTTGCAAAACGACATCATATATTTTCAGAAAGAACATTTAATTACCTCTCCAGTGGTACCAAAAAGATCTTCATAAAATCAAATATACACAACGAAATAAGGAAAACAAGACCTACCGTTTTGTCGGCTATAGCGGATCAGTACGGCTATAACGGATCACGCCCTTTGGCAGGCCTCTCACTCACGATTCAAGTTAGATGGTACGTCTCAAAACACACTTTCAGAGGTTACTGATCACATCTAATTATTAATTGGAGCCTTTGCAACGAATACACTTTAAATATAACTCCAATACATGTGTCAACTCTCAAAACATATGTAGAAATTCGAAATCGTGAATGCAAATGGAACGATGCTATGCGAATGCATACGCGTGCGCAGATGAAACACTGATCCGTTATAGCCGAAAAATCACACATCGGATACGACACAATAACGCATGGAAGCATTATCCAAGATTACCAAACAACACATGATTCTGAAACAAAACACCATAATTCATCATTTAAATGCATATTTATTTTGTTGTAAGCGTGTATTTTAATAGAATCCATTTCTTCATCGAACGGTCCGTTCTCTTCTACTTCCTCGAGTATGTGGCCGTCATTTTGGTATCTGAAGGTGCTAGGGGTGTTAAGTGGATGTTTGATTACCACACACATTCCCTTACCTTCAGCATGCTTCTTGTTTACAAAGTATATTTACTCCTTAATCAATTCAAACCCAGACTCTTAAATGGATTTTCATCCCTCCCCTTCCCAAACCTCCATAAATGATACACACACATGCTATGGTTCTGGAACATATATAATATATAAAGGTATCTCATATCACTTTACTAATAAATAATTAAGTTCCAGAACATGTTAATTTATTAACATGTTTAGGTATTACATCCCACTAGGTAGCCTGCATTTCCTCTGACCCTGACAGTGACACCATACTTAGACATTTTGACAGATAGATGTCTGGTGTGGGGCCAGAGCGCACTACTATATACATACTTAGACATTTTGACAGATAGATGTCTGGTGTGGGGCCAGAGTGCACTACTATATACAGACTTGGACATTTTGACAGATAGATGTCTGGTGTGAGGCCAGAGCGCACTACTATATACAGACTTAGAGATTTTGACAGATAGATGTCTGCTGTGAGGCCAGAGTGCACTACTGTATACAGACTTGGACATTTTGACAGATAGATGTCTGCTGTGAGGCCAGAGTGCACTACTGTATACAGACTTGGACATTTTGACAGATAGATGTCTGCTGTGAGGCCAGAGTGCACTACTGTATACAGACTTGGACATTTTGACGGATAGATGTCTGGTGGGAGGCCAGAGGGCACTACTATATACAGACTTAAACATTTTGACAGATAGTTGTCTGGTGTGAGGCCAGAGTGCACTACTATATACAGACTTAAACATTTTGACAGATAGATGTCTGGTGTGAGGCCAGAGTGCACTACTATATGAAAACATGGAATTCTCTGACACCATTTGGTATCACTAAGTTATGAGGTGCTGACAACAAAAATCCACTATAACACAACACAAACCTCATCTATATTGATGAATGGATTATTTATTGATCTAAAACTGCCTTTATTATCACCAACAGCTGATACATTTCGTCAGTCGAGTCCTCGGTTTTTAATTTCGTCGGTCGAGTCCTCGGTTTTTAATTCAAAATTTTCCATCTGAGTGACACCATTTGTAGGTTATGCAAATTACATTGAGTAACTAATCAACAAAAAGAGGTGGTCCAGAATTCTGCTAAATAAATATAATCTATTCAGTTTAAGTTTTTCGGTCCCGATCAGTATGTTTGATTAGTCATTTGCTACCTTTGTGATCACTACTTATTGTCCCCTCCTGCAACACATTGACATGTACAGGGCATGGTAATTAACAGACAGGGCTATATATGTTTTAATGTACATCTAAAACTTTTAAAGAATTAAGTACTTTTGAAATTACCTTTGCTGTTTTATCACCAGAAAGGTATAAAGAGGAAGTGGTATAGTATGGACTGCATTTTAACAAATTTATTTTTAATCTTTTGAAGATACCAATGCCAAACTTGTCAGCAAGTCTGTGGAGGATGAGGAGGATGCTGAGGAAGCTAGCCAAGTCTCAACCCTCCGTAAGAAGGCAGCATTAACAACAGCTGATTTGGGTGAAAAGTATGCTGGAAAGAAAACATCTAGGAACAAACTTTCACAATTTGGTAAGAAATTCAATTTCCATTAGTATTCATGTTGATTGAAAATCTTAACAAGGGTTTTAAACTATTTGAAAAGATTTAGAATACATTTTTGTCTCGCCGCCACGAAGTGGAAGTGAGACTTAGGTATGCCGGCGACGGCTTCAACATTAAGTTTTTGCGTTTAGGCTAGTTTCTCTGAAAGTATAAGTGCTACATCAACAAAACTTGGACCATAGATGCAACTTAGGTAGTACATCTTAACCCATGAATCAAATGCTGGATGTGGCCTACCTTTCATGGACCATTGACTTTGTCAGCATCTCCTTCCACATTAAGTTTTTGCGTTTAAGTTAGTTTCTCTGTTATGTGCATTGATTGTCAAAGAGGGGCATAGGCGAGACATATTAATCCAAATGGCTTGTTTATACAACTCAAGAGGCTGGGATATATATTTTAACTCAAACTTGCAACAGTGACACTAGATGATTTTCCCAAATAAAACATTTCAATGACGGGTTTCTTTTCATTTTTGAAACATGACATGTTGTGATCTTTATCTTGAACAATTTTTAATTGACTATGGCCAGAAAGTAAATATTCTTCATTTTATTTATAGATTTACCTCTCTAATTAGCAAAGTCATTTTATATTTCTTGTGAATTCTGAATTTGAATTCATTTTATTTTTACTCCCAAATCTAGTTTAGACAATTTTTATTCCAGAAGATTTTCTAATTACTCCTTATTGAAAATAATGGAAGCTGACAATAACTAAAGAAACATTTCACACTAAATAACCTCAACTACCTACCTATAAAATTTAGGTATGGTACTACATCGGGGCGCAAAGGAAAATAAACAATTCTTTGAGCATCGTAATGTTTCCTTCAGGTGAAAGTGATGATGAACTGGAGTCAGATGATGAGAATGAGGAAGATTTTGAAGTTGAAGACAATGAAATGGAGGATGGTAATTTGGATTCAGAATCAGAATCCGAAAATAATGATGAGGATGATGAAGATGATGAGGACATAAAATCCTTCCAGAATAAACTTACTCTAGCTACCCAGAGTCCAAAGTCATCATTCAGGTATCAGAGGATTATTTTGTTAGTCAATCACAATTTTGGTGCTTTGGAAATATGTATCCTAATATCATATTGTTATTGCTACACTACTTATTTTTCCTTGTCCTCATTAAAACTCATTCTAGACACCAACCATTCTTAGTGTCTTCCTCAAGGTCAAAAATTTAAGAAGTTTTCAGATTTCAGTAAAAGATTCCTGTTAAACTCTGTAAGTTGTCTTGATGAAATTTGAAATATGCCAGCATCATCAACTGTGTTCTGTAATAAGGTCAACGACCTTCACCTTAAGGTCAAAGGTCTTTGAAATAGCTCAGGTTACATATATGACATCAGTAAACAGGATATTTATAATAAATTCTTCTACAGAACAATTAAAATAAGCTGCATGCGAAAGGCAAAAATACATTTTTGTTTAACACTTACAAATCTCTCAAGATTGTTTTTGGACAGCAGATTTTAACTGGTAACTTCTCTTGTAAGCTGATATTCCACTAAGTATACTTCTTACTCACTATGTTGACAATAGTTTTGCTGATGACGGAGACTTCAGTAAGTATGCAGACATGGATGAAGATGATGGTGAAGAGGGAGAAGATGAGAGTGATGAAGATGATGAAGACGACGATAGTGAAGAAAATGAAGGTTACAGTGATGAAGAAGATATGGAAGAAAGTTTAAATGGTAATAAAAGGAAACAGATGAGAAAGGACTTTAAAATACTGAGTTTTAAATATCCTTATGTAAAATGGGCATTAGGATCAATTAACCTTTAAAAATTCAGAAAAAATGCATTCATATTTTACTGTCACTTTTTTTATTGAAAACATGTGGAGGTAATGAGTTGTTTACTTATCATTATATGATCCATATTGCATCTATGGACCTCTTTGAAAAAGGTATCTTTTATGTTGTCTGAATCGTAACTTCATGATTTGTTTTGTATTATAGACAATGAAGGAGAGATTACAAAATTTTCAAAAGCAGATACCGACCTTGAAGTAGAGAAGGGCAATGCTGCCAAATCCCAACTAGGTATGGAAGCAGTCAAATATGTTTGTTGTTATGTATTTAGCCCACCATCATATATATTTCTTTTCATATAATATGGTCCATTATTGGTCAATCATCAGTCACATGATTAATTGTGATTATTTCCAATACAATCATGAATACTTGGTGGATGTGGACTCTTCAACGATGTCCACACTTACAAAATATATTGTTTAGATTGAAGAAAAACAAAAAATCTGAATCATTTACGAATCAAGTCTTTACTCAGATGAAAATGCATTTTTTGAAGGTTATTGATAATCTTGAGGAATACAAATTATCTAGCAGTGAAGAAATGTGGACAGTCATTTAAACAAATTTGAAATGAATCCAACAACAAATAAATATTTTGAAAAGAAATTCAACTGTATTTTCAGGTGTGTGGGATTCTCTACTTGAAAATAGAATAAAAGTTCAGAAAGTTGTTGGATTGGTCAATCAACTCCCCCAACCTGACACCTGGGGGACATTTGAGGACCATTCCGAAAGGGGAGACAACTTTACACAGACATCATTAACAGGTGAAAATCTAGTTAAGGTCATGTTTGTTATATATATATGCCCTGTCATGAAAATTGGGTAGGTATTGAGACATAAAGCGTTGCCCAAGTGAACATCACAAATTCAATTGTCATAACTCTAGTGCCTTCATCCTTGATTTAATTTGTATTCAACTTTAAGCAAATGTTCAGAATTACATTATAAGGATCTTAATACAAATGTCAAGGTAACTAATGCTATAAATAGAGAATGTTTCTCATTGTTCTGCCATCCTAAGCTACTATCAGATTGGTATGAAACTTAACAAAACGGTTGATTTCAATAATACACAGAATCAGTTCGCATTTCAAAGTCCTAAATCGAAGGTTTTGGAGTTTGTCACTGGCATTAGAAAATACTAATGCTCATTTAGGAAATGTAAGCTGGGGCACTCGTGTATTGCATATATTGTCTAGTAGTAACTAATTTTCCATAGTTTGGATATATATTTCCAGTCCCACTTTCACAGTGTAATATATCAGTTCCATGAGCAACTTTACAATGCATATATGATAGGAAATTTAATATCGCTACTATATTTATCCTTACCACAGCCCAGGCAAGTCTGCAGAACCTCTTGGACAAACTGTTGCAGCTCCAGACAGTCCTCCTACTTCAGAACACTGAGACACGACACATCGCCACTGGAACAGATGCCTCAACGAAGTAAGTCACATCTTTTATATAAAAACAAATGTTTCTGGAAAGGGGAAAGGTCATTTTGGATGATGGGGATCACGAACAGTTACCTACCAGAAAGGTGACTTTAAAAACACTCCAGTGAAAGAAGATTTAGCTTGAAGATTTAGCTTGAAGATTTTAAAACTTATGAGGAAAAACGAAGCAAAAAGAACATTATACAAAGTGTAGCATGCCATATTTATCCTGCATTTCACAATTACTAACTTAAAGTAGGGGATGGGCTTATTAAAGGACAATGAAGTAGCATTTAATGGAATTTTTACAATATTGCAATAGATATGGAGTGGCTTTTTATCAGGTTGGTTTTTATCTGACAGATAAATAAGGTAAAGAACAAGATACATTTAAACCTGTGTTAATGGGCCACTATAAGGAGGTCAATAAATGGTCTCTTAACACAGGTGGTCTCAGAAATCGGAATAGTCAGAAATACACAATTTATTTTCTAATGTCTAAAGAATAAGATAGATTTTGATTTTTCTGATTTGGTCAATTACATCAATCAAGGGAGGGGGGGGGGGGGGGAAATTTCAAATCTTGCATACCAGGTAACGTTTGCTGTAATTAACTTCCGTAATGATAGGAGTACACAGTTTGCTAACTATACTAGTCATTACATGTGAAAGGCAACACTGATTGCATATTGATGTTACCAGGACTGCTTTTGTTTAATATTGAGATCCAAACGGTTGGACCAGAGATGTTCAAATCTGATGATGGTTTCAGGTAAGCCTTGACAAAGCCTTGCAAGGCCTGAACATTTACAGGTCCACCACCAGGATTAACCCTTTCACCCCTATGTAACTTAAGTAGACTTGACCACACATTGATCTGAATGAGTCCATTATGGTCTTCAGTGGTGAAAGGGTTAATACCGAAAATGTTACATTTAAAAACAGACAAACCAGTTGTTCCACATAAACGAAGACGCCCAGGTAAAGGACAAAAGTTTGACTGTGCCAAAAAGTAGCCAGGTATACAAAATAACTTTAATTACTTCAGTATATAACACTGAAATTTGATGGTATCTTTGTCATCTGGTACAGGTCTTCCAAGGAGAAGAGATCTGGGGGAGGTGATAATGACGAGGAGATCACCAGCGAGTCGGAGACAGAGGAGGCTGAGGAAGACCTTAAGTCTCTGATACAAAAAACAGGAGTCAAACGCAAACATACACTGGACGAATACTCAGAGACCCTGACAAAGAGGCACAAAGATTTTCTCAGGTTTAGGTAAGAGAATGTGAAATTTAACCAAACTATTTGTTTAGGAATCCCTGTCCTACTGCAGACAAAACACTTGAGAATTACACTAGTTTTTGTCTCGCCGCCACAAGTAGCAGAAGAGAGACCAAGGTGGTGCTTTTCCGGCGACGGTGGCGCCGTCAACATTAAGTTTTTGCATTTTAGTTAGTTTTACTGAAAGTATAAGTGCTACACCAACCAAACTTTGACCATAGATGCATCTAAGGTATTACACCTCAACCCATGCATCAAATACTGGATGCAGCCTATTTTTCATGGTCCATTGACTTTGTCAGCGTCTCCATCCAAGAATTTTGATTCAACAATTTTTCCAAAAGTTATTGCCCTTTGTTCATTTCAGTATTTTATTTTTTGTCCGGAGATTTTCACCTACTTTTTTTACAGCATGTCAGCTAACTACTCTTAGAATGATGCAGATCTTATTTCAATGTAAGAAAGTATATAACACTATGTGGCATTCGACGGGCATACATCGTTCTGCCCCGCGGTACTCTTGTTGCATTTAAGTTAGTTTCTCTGAAATTATAAGTGCTAGAAAAACTAAACTTGACATGTGCATTGATGGTCAAAGCGGCCGCAAGCGAGACATATCAATCCGAATGGCTTGATTTTCATATAAACAACAACATCCCCTTAATTTTGCTTTAGATACAACTGAAGGAAGGTTGGGCAAAGAACATATTGAATAAATTCATGTTGTTGATGAATTTTGTTTGAATTATTTTCTCCAACAGAAACACCGCAATACAGAAATGGTATGATCGTACCCGTCTGGTCAGCGGAAAGGTTAACAGCAAGTCCTTCAGAAGTTTTGACCAATCTGCACTGAAGCAGATAGAACAGGTGAGTGGACAAAACCTTTGCCTGGAATGTTAGCATAACATTTGAAGTTTATCATGAGGTTGTCTCCCCTCTACCATGGGAATATACTTCATTCACCCTGAAATGAAATTTTAAAAAATATTTTGAAAATAAGCTGACTGTATGATCTTAAATATTTCAACAAAGGAAATTGATTGACTTATTACAGCAAGCTGTTACTTATGAATGCATATACATGTATGTAATTTGAATAAAACTATTTTCAGAATTTAAAATATTAATCATTTGACATGTGTCTTATTTTCCAATCTTGACTTATTACTGGTACAGTATCTACAATGCATTTATCAACATCAGATCTAGAAGTTGGCCATGTAACAAAACTTTGCAATGAAAAAAGGGAAGTCTTATGCAGTTCTTATTTCAATTAATTTGTGGAATATATTGGTTTTTCAACATGTTCTGAAGAAATATTTGCGCTTTTTCTTCAACATATACAGATTCTTGGTGACAAGGAACGTTTGATCAAAAGGACACAGTTGAAGAGATCTGTGTTTAGGGTCTTAGGAACCGTAGAGAAAACGGAGCAGGAGGAGACAAAACCAGATAATGTATGTGACATCCATAATACAGTCAAACTTGTTCATTCGTACACCTCCATTAAGAGACTAAGAGACCACTTTTAATGTTTCCCATGGTTATGATTTCTGTATGAAATTAACCGGTGTTAAGAGACCCCCTCCCTTAAGAGATCACATGTGTTAAGGAGGCTCCACACTTTCGCAATTAACCAGCAAAATTCGTTGAAACTTTCACAAAATGGTTATGCGACTATGTAGAGTTGATGTTATGAAATCTAAGCATTCCAATAGTTTGGGGACTTCTTTGGAAAAAATACCAAAAAAATGAATTTTCGTCAATTTTAATATTTTCAGTTTATTTTTGTGTGTGGCATTGTTCGGAACAGTAACAACAAAATGAAAAGAAGCATTGCTTATCAACCCTACAAATGTTTTATTTATCGTAAAATATATAACACACGTTACACAAAGTGTTTTTTATTGAATTTGTACGGATAAAAGTAATTAATCTACAAGCTAAAAGCAAACAGGACACAAAGATTCATACATAAAGAGTGAGAAACTGAACAAAATATACACAATGGCTTTATAATTAATTTATTTTAACTTTTACAATCACTTTGATCCGGGTGAGAGTTGTCTTCCTTGAAAAAAATCAGAACTTTTTGCAGAGGGATACAATTTACACAATGACAGTTATCTCTGTTTACATATACAACAAATGATGGAAATAAATCAAAATAATGATATCAAAATTATCAATTTATTGTTCTTTTATGGAACCGAATTACTCCCAGTCATGTACACTTTGGACATCAGTCCACAGCCCACTAACACATGGTATATTTACATGTCAGGTACATATGTGCCCAGGGGCTATCGCATGGTATGCCGTTCACAAAATATTATTTTCACAGAGTAATAACTAGACTGCATTTGTAAAAACGATTTAATCGACAGTGCGAAACTCATAACGACATTGAGCTTATGAACTCAGGTAAGCATGTGGTATGCACATGTGTGGTCGGTCCACATCAGTCCGCATTCCATGTGTTTCATATATGACCTTCTTGAGGTCGTCTGGTCTCATGTCAGTGACTTCCTGTGAGTCTGTTTATGTCTATGAATTGGAAGTTTTATTTCTGACGTACGTGTGATTACACATTTCCAGGTAAAAATATGGGGTGTTGACATATCATCATCACGCACATGTACTATTGTTTACCAGGTGTTACATTAATGACGACATGGTGTAAAGTCACATTTCGATCGAGTTAATTGAGTGCGTGCTGTACTTTTCCGGAAGTACGTCACGAAAATGGACACTGATGACGATGTGTGGAGCCACCTTAAGAGACCACTTTTAATTTTTTCCAGTAAAGTGATTTCTTTATGAAATTAACCTGTGTTAAGAAACCCCCCTGATTCAAATTTTGAGAGATGTAATTCTTTAAAAGATGGAAAAAAAATGTAAAATATATTATTTTCATTTTTGAAAAATTAAAATGCTCATATTATATTTTATTAATATAATTAGGAAATCGACAGTGATTAGTCGTCTTTCATATATAGGTGTTTATATAACGAGTTTATTTTTATGAATTTATGAATGAAGTTCTATATTCAAAGTGGAATTCTGTATTCAAAGTGGAAAAATTAAAAAAAACTTGGCTCAAATATATCTATCCCTGATTTTCAGCAAAATTCAACAGACATGGAAAATCTGAAGAACTATGATCAAGAGATATTTGATGATAGCGACTATTACCACCAACAATTACGAGAATTGATAGAGCGAAAAGCTGCAGATACCAACAACCCAGTAGCTCTAAGCAGGTAATGTAAAGCAAACAAAATTCTGAAGGTATAAATAAGTCAAGCTTGAATGGTGGAGTCTGGAAATCATTTGGACCATTACATTTATAGATGTGACTTCATGTAGCCCTGGAAGTGAAAAGTGGAAAAGTTCTATCTTGTGATATTGTTCATAGCAAAAGTTGAAAATACGTTTGTTTCAGGAGTCTCCATTTAGTGTTGTTACTGAAATGTTCGAACATAGTTTACCATATGCCATGATTTTTATTTAATCTTCTTACATAAAAAACTGCACAAAGACAATCAGCAGGATTTCATTTGTCCAGTTTGAAACTAATTTATACTTAATTTATTTGTCTTCATTTATATTTTCAGACATTGGTTAGAAATTCAGAAAATGAGGAAAAAGGTAAAGAAGAATGTTGATACAAAAGCCAGCAAAGGTCGTAAAACCAGGTAAGGATACAGCACACTAGGGTAAACAAAGTTACTGAGGAAATACATTTCTCTAATGGTCAGGTAAGGATACAGCACACTACGGTAAACAAAGTTACTGAGGAAATACATTTCTCTAAAAGTTGGACTTGAGAGGCAGAATCCAAACTCTGTCCAAACTTATTTTTTTTCCAAACCGACCAAATAATTTGGTTCAAACAATGCCAACGTGTAGTAGACTGTCTACAATCCAGAACTCCTTCAAACACGACAAGTCATGTTGTGCCTGTATGTCAGATTCAGATAATGTATTACTTGTTAATTACCGTTATGCCTCAATATAATTGTAAACAGATTTTATTGATGTTTTTGAAACATACTTGAGTTACAACTTTCAAGTTCATGTCAATAGAAACACCATTTATAGACCAGAGTTGTAATTAGAAATACTTTGCATAAACATTAGCCAGATTACACATCTCAGAAACTAATTAAGTGTGAAAGTATTTGTTAACTGTGACTGCAGGGCCGCTTTTGTTTATTGGGATCCAAACGGTTAGAACAATTGGACCAGAGTTGTTTGTTTATGAAATAAGGCCGGACCCAGTAATCAGGGACAAAGTCTTGCAAGGCCTGCATAAACATTTACAGGTCCACTAGGATTTATACCTAAACATGTTACATTTAAGAACAGACAAACCAGTTGTTCCACATAAATGAACAGACCCCAGAAATTACCTATCCCTGAAAAAGCTAAACTAACATATTCCATTTGTTGTATTATTATGGATATCATTTTCCTTTTAGGTATGAAATACACAAGAAGCTTGTTAACTTCATGGCTCCTGAAGACCGATGTTTATGGACAGATGAATCTAGGTACGTCAGCTTGTATTTCAATATCTTTCAATTAAAAACCATAAAGCTTTGCATATTACAAAAATAAATATTCTAACTTGATATATAATATTTCAATATAGTTTCTAAAAGGAATAAAAAAGAATACCTACAATTTTCTCTCTCTCTCTATCTTAATGAATAGAAAACATTTCTTGATTTTCTCTTTGATTTACAGTGATCAATTATCAAAATTGATAATCAAACTGTCTTTTTTTCAACTCCACAGGGATGACCTTTTCAAGTCATTATTTGGAAAAAGATTCCAGCAACCTCCTTCTGAGGCGGATAACAGCAATGCTGTGAAATGATCAACTTGACAGTAGTTTTCCCCCATTCATTGTTATATAGTCAACATAAATAAAATATATCTCGTATACCTGTGTAATTTCTTGTGTTTGACTGTGTTTTCTAATTGACGAACCTTGATTAATTTTGAGGAACAATTTTTAAGAAATTTATTAAAATTACAAATGCACAGCAATTTTCACACTTTAGGTTTAGCAGACATATGTGCATTTTGAAGAAGAGGAACAGTTCACTATATAGCTACGAGTTATTGAATTCATAAACTGGAAAATACATTCCTCAGTCACGAAAAGCTACAATCACAAGTTTCTTTTTATGTGAAAAGCTACAATCACAGATTTTTATTTTTAAATTAAACTGATGTGTCTAAAATCACAAAATTCTATTGCTGTAAAAATCAATGTACCAATACAAGCAACGCTAAAGGTAATTGAGTCGCGTTCTATAGAAGGAATACTACACTAGGATCAATGAAATCGCCAAAACGAAGAGACGCAAATAAGGGAGACAACTATATGAAGATTTCGCCCCAATACAAAATGTGAAACAATGTATTTTATGGAATGATGTGTAAATAAATGTGGTACACTTAGATACATTATTTTGATTACCCCAAGTATCGTGTATGATTGAAATGCTTAAATAAAAGAAAAGGCAAAAGCATTAATAATAGAGACGCTAAAACAAGACCGGTGTCAACAGCAGTACATAGTTACAAGTTATTCCTCAATCACAAAATGAAACAAGAGGCCCAATGGGCCTGCATCGCTCACCTGGTATAAATCTCACACTTGTAACCTTAAAAGTGATCTAAAATAAAGCTACAGGCAAAATATCAGTATTTATGATTAAAATTCATTCAAAAGACCCTGTTATTTTTTTATAAAACATTTCACCCCTGTGATTGAAAGTCGAACAAATTTTATAGCCTTTCATCTCAGGATGCAATTTGCAAAGTATCAACATCCTGGGACCCATGGTTATTCGGAAGAGGTCTTTTAAAGATTTTAAACAAATTTGACCCCCTGTGACCTTAAATATAAGTCAAAGTCATTCACTTTAACAAACATAGTAGTCCTTGATCCCAGCATGCTACTGACTAAATATCAACATCCTGAGCCTTTTGATTATTCAGAACAAGTTGGTTAAATATTTTGAACATATTTGCTCCTTGTGACCTTGAATATGATTCAAGGTCATACAGGTAGCCCTTGATCCTAGTATGCTACTGACTAAATATCAGCACCCTAGGCATTTTGGTTATTCAGAAGAAGTTGTTTAAAGGTTTTAACATATTTGACCCCTGTGAATTTGCATATGGGTGAAGGTCATTCATTTGAACAAACTTGGTAGCCCTTCACCCAAGCATGCTACTGGCCAAATATCATCTCCTTGGGCAGTTTGGTTTTCAAGAAGAAGATGTTTAAAGTTTTTAACATATTTGACCCCTGTGACCTTGAATATGGGTGAAGGTCATTCATTTGAACAAACTTTGTAGCCCTTCATCTCAGCATGCTACTGGCCAAATATCATCACCCTGGGCATTTTGGTTATTGAGAAGAAGTTGTTTAAAGTTTTTAACATATTTGACCCCTGTGACCTTGAATATGGGTGAAGGTCATTCATTTGAACAAACTTTGTAGCCCTTCATCTTAGCATGCTACTGGCCAAATATCATCACCCTGGGCATTTTGGTTATTGAGAAGAAGTTGTTTAAAGTTTTTAACATATTTGACCCCTGTGACCTTGAATATGGGTGAAGGTCATTCATTTGAACAAACTTTGTAGCCCTTCATCTCAGCATGCTACTGGCCAAATATCACCACCCTGGGCAGTTTGGTTATCGAGAAGAAGTTGTTTAAAGTTTTTAACATATTTGACCCCTGTGACCTTGAATATGGGTGAAGGTCATTCATTTGAACAAACTTTGTAGCCTTCATCTCAGCATGCTACTGACCAAATATCATCACCCTGGGCATTTTGGTTATTCAGAAGAAGTTGTTTAAAAGTTTTTTTAAGACAATTGACCCCTGTGACCTTGAATATAATTGAAGGTCATTCATTTGAACAAACTTGGTAGCCCTTCACTCAAGCATGCTACTGGCCAAATATCATCTCCCTGGGCAGTTTGGTTTTTCAGAAGAAGTTGTTTAAAGTTTTTAACATATTTGACCCCTGTGACCTTGAATATGAGTGAAGGTCATTCATTTGAACAAACTTTGTAGCCCTTCATCTCAGCATGCTACTGGCCAAATATCATCACCCTTGGCATTTTGGTTATTCAGAAGAAGTTGTTTAAATGTTTTTTAAGACAATTGACCCCTGTGACCTTGAATATAATTGAAGGTCATTCATTTGAACAAACTTTGTAGCCCTTCACCCAAGCATGCTACTGGCCAAATATCATCTCCTTGTGCAGTTTGGTTATCAAGAAGATGTTTAAAGTTTTTAACATATTTGACCCCTGTGACCTTGAAAATGGGTGAAGGTAATAAATTTAAACAAACTTTGTAGCCCTTCATCCCAGTTTGCTTCTGGCCAAATATTGACACCCTAGGCCTTTCGGTTATTAAGAAGAAGTCGGTTAAAGTAAAATATTGACACCGGACGACGGACGGACGACGGACGCCGCGCCACGGCATAAGCTCACTTGGCACTTCGTGCCAGGTGAGCTAAAAATCGCAGATTTTTATTGTAGTAAAGACGATGAGCTAACTTGAAATAGTAAAGAGACGATGTGATTAATTTAACCATAAGAAAATTGCAACATGATGAAGAAAATGTTTGACAAAGCCCGATGAGTAGTTGGGAAGGGAGACAACTCTGACAACCACCGAGACAATTCATAGAATGGGAAACGATACTGACAATTCAGAGAATGGGAAACGATACTGAAAACCACTGACAATTCATAGAATGGGAAACATTACTGACAATTCATAGAATGGGAAACGATATTGACAACCACTCTGACAATTTATAGAATGGGAAACGATGATGACAACCACTGACAATTCATAGAATGGGAAACGATACTGACAACCACGGACAATTCATAGAATGGGAAACGATACTGACACCCACTGTGACAATTCATAGAATTGGAAACGATACTGACAACCACTGACAATACGTAGAATGTGAAACGATACTGACAACCACTGTGACAATTCATAGAATGGGAAACGATACTGACAACCACTGACAATTCATAGAATGGGAAACGACACTGACAACCACTGTGACAATTCATAGAATTGGAAACGATACTGACAACCACTGACAATACGTAGAATGGGAAACGATACTGACAACCACTGTGACAATTCATAGAATGGGAAACGATACTGACAATCGTATATATATGTCTGTGTCAGGTAATGTACCTGTGTTATAATTGTGACGTATGAGAGGTGGGTGCAAGTATTGGCTGATTGACACTTTGACCTATGACCCTGTCCATGCACGTGAAAAGCCTCACCCTGGGATCTACCCAGGTGAGTTAATTCACTCTATACCAACCATTGGCTTGGATCAGACGCATGTGAATTGCCTGTGTGCGTTACCGCCACAGTGCAAGGTAAGTCTTACATTAAATTTAAAATAATATAAAACAAACTATTACTTCTATTATAACAAATTATTAAATAAAGTACTGTGGTTTTATAATTTATTGCATTTGAATTATATTGCCGTCAAATATCTGAGGCTCTAAATTTAATTAGGGTACACTTGGTCAGGTTTTATAACATCATGTCATAGGGTTAAAATTAGGGTGTAATTATGTTATGTAAGTTTCTGAAATAAAATATAATAATATAATATTAATTTACAAGTAATGACTAAATATTAAATACTTTATGGTATTAATATATATGTGGATATAGTTATACGTTTACACGTGTCCGTATATGTACACTCAGACATTGTATTTTTATTTCAGGGAACTGTCTCCGTTGACGAGTGTGAATTATAATTATTAACAAATAAACTGTCAGTGTGTATACCTATGTCTATGGGTTATATTTAATTCGCACCAGAAGAAACCCACACATTTACTCGTGTGACAACTGTGACAGTTCATAGAATGGGAAACGATACTGTTTCAGTTCTATTACACAAAGTACATTCTCTTTCCTCTCGAGGAATTCCCATCCAACGGCCAGTTTCCAGGGGCAGCGGCAAGTTTGACGAGCAAAATTTGCATAACACAACACGATCCCTCTTGTTTAATTGAGTTAAGTAATTTTAAAACGCAAACCAAAAACAGAAAAAACCCATTGAAACGACAATACTTGAAAGGGGGGGGGGGGGGGGGGGGGGATGAAACTGGTACACAACCACCACTGGGACACGAACACCAGAAATAACAATATAAACTTTTCAAAATCTTTGGGATACAACACCATTGAAATGACAACACTAGCTACAAACAGGAACAACAATATGTATCGCTGAAATAAAACACTTGAAAGAGAAAACAACAGTATTGATAACCGAGACACCAACACCACCGGGTGGGTGGGATGAGGGAGCCATTGGAACGCTAACACCGGAATAGGGGGACAACAATGTGAACCATTGGAACGCTAACACCGGAATAGGGGGACAACAATATGAACCATTGGAACGCTAACACGGGAGTAGGGGGACAACAATGTGAACCATTGGAACGCCAACACGGGAATAGGGGGACAACAATGTGAACCATTGGAACGCTAACACCGGAATAGGGGGACAACAATATGAACCATTGGAACGCTAACACGGGAGTAGGGGGACAACAATGTGAACCATTTGAACGCCAACACGGGAATAGGGGGACAACAATGTGAACCATTGGAACGCTAACACCGGAATAGGGGGACAACAATATGAACCATTGGAACGCTAACACGGGAGTAGGGGGACAACAATGTGAACCATTTGAACGCCAACAAGGGAATAGGGGGACAACAATGTGAACCATTGGAACGCTAACACTGGAATAGGGGGACAACAATGTGAACCATTGGAACGCCAACACGGGAGTAGGGGGACAACAATGTGAACCATTGGAACGCCAACA